CGACGGTCAAAAGGCCTCAGTGGTGCAAGTTCACCTCGTCCAAGATTCCCTCGTACTAGATCTTCCCATAGCACTCTTTGACTTCTGCTAAGGTCTGGTTGAGCCGAGGGGCAGGACGAGGCACAGTTGTAAAAAAAATCAATTCGGGTCTAAACGGAAGCGGATGAAGTCAAAATGCTATCCTAAGACCGACCTGAGGTAAAACATACCTAACTCTCTGAATTTGCTAGGGACCTGGTAGAAAGGTTCTCCATTCCTAGTGACGAGCCACTTACCCGAGACGAGGAACCATTTGTTTTGCCAGTGCTTATTGGCAGAAGGGGAGTCAACAATCTTACAGAAAGAATTCCGAGCCGATATATAATATCGACCTGGATGCTCTTTATAGGGTTTTATTAATGGGTGGCGAAGAACTGACTTATGCTTAGGAAGAGATCTTCATCACCCGAGCTGAAGCTCCACTAGGTGAACCACAAACCGAGGAGAGTGTCCCACCCATTGGGCGCCAGCTGAGTAGGGGCCAGGTTGGTGGCGGATAAAAACCTCTGGATAAAGGGGTGGAGAGGAAGCCGAACTCCACGGTCGAACATTTGAGGGTAAAAGCCGACCCACCAAGGAGGGGGATTATTTTGACTTTCATTTACCTGAAACAGCCTCATTAGATGTTACCAGGAATTCTAACTTCTTCCCTAAGTTTGGATAGGTCAAACTCTCTACAAATGGAATGAGGAGGTTCATTCACAAGACTAGGTCTACCTGAGTTGGTGGCTTCATCTAAGTTCGGCTCGGATGGGTCAGGATGGGTCTCGTCTAAGGTCGGTTAGAGATCTAGGTCAATGCTAGAAATCGATAAACTATCCTCACGGCTTGTGCAAGCTCGGATAATTGCCCCCTAGACTCGGACGAAGTAGCCATTCGATAGAATTTAAAACACAAAACATTGGATAACTAACCTAAAGCAGATTCTGAGCCGAGGCGATCCTGAAAAGTTGAGAGAATCTTGAGAGGATTTCAGAGCAAAATCAGAAGAAATTGAATCTGAAGTTCTTGGAAATTGAATCTGGCGGCCACGATTTGATCTAGCTAAAAAACCAGCTAATGATAACTTCGCTACACGTCAGCCCTACCCAAGAATTTGTCATGGTCTTCGTGACTACGAATCAGGTCAACAATTCACCTCTACCACAGCACTGAGTTGAGTCGACACTGCGCCACAGCCCAGTGGGGGCCAATGTTGGAGGCAGATTTCAGCATACACGTGGCAAGTGATGAGTGGATGTAAATTGCGACACGTGGCTTGTGACGGTCGCAAAATAACGACCAAGTATGTACGATCGGTCGAGCCGAATCCGTTCAGTGGCCGAGCCGAACAAGTTCTCATTCGGACTTGTGTTCCCATGAGAATGGTCAAACCAGTTAGCTTACCTCAGCTCGGTCACGCCTCCGACATACTCCACGACAGCACGCCGCATTTCACGGCAACCTTAAAGAGTCGTTGAGGCCATGTCGGGAATGCTGTCGGGGTTTCTGCCTATAAATAGGATCATTTCATTCATTAAAAGGTATGCGAACATCTCGTTTCTCTCTTGATTTACTTCAGACTCTTACTGACTTTGGCATCAGAGTGCTCACTCTGCCTTGCAGGTCCGGTTCCGGGAGATCGTGGTTTAGCTCATTTTGTGTGAGCCGATGTTCGCTAAGTTGGATGATTTTCTGATTCAACACAAATATTTAATTTGAACTGTATTTAAATGCACATCTCTCTAATAACCTATAGTTTAATATGTATCTCATGCACATTAATTTTAACCTTTAGTTTTAATATAAATCTAAATCATATTAAATTTTATGTGAATCTTATTCAAGTAGTTCTCTCGTAACAATAACAATATAGTATTAATTTCACCCTTATTCAAAATTAATTATATAACGTTCAATATATACATTATATAAATGGTGCATCGTGTATATAAATTCTCTTATTAAATTTGAACATTTCAAATTCTTAATCTTCGTTTTACTCGTTGTGAACTAGCAAGGGTACCTAATGCATACTAGATTAATTAATTAAACTCAAACGCTCCAAATTTTGTCTACTCCAACAATCTCTCTCATCGCCTTGCTGTTATTAAGACTGTTGGGGCTTTGACGAGCTTGGCATTGAAGGAGGCAAAAGAGCTCATTGAAGATTTGCCAAAGAAGTATAGAGAAGGGATTTCGAAGGAAGAGGCGAAGGAGCTCATTGAAAGGTTATGTTTCATTATTAGAAATGTTTGAAATTTTGAATTGTAACTCCCTATGTTTCATTATTCGCTGGTTCGTTTTTTTTTTTTTCCCATTGTTAAACTGATGATGAATTTAGCTAGCAGCTCTGTTCATTGATGGCTTGTTTTTCCTGAATTTGAGCGCTCAATTCGTCATTTCTGAAGCTGTGTTTATATGCTCTACTCGGTTGATTTTTCTTGCTCATAATGTGTTTGTTAAAATGGCAACAAGAAGCTTTTCTATTTGCATTAATTCTCTTTTGGTCTGAACTTCTATAACTTAAAAGTGGATCTGAATGGACAAACTTTGGCAAATACTACACTACTTCTTGTTGCTTTCTAGATAAATTGTCACTTTCTGATTTATTTGTATGTTTATGCTTTGAAATGTGAAATGTATGGCCACATACTAGACTTCTGTGAGGGAGAGTCGAACCCATGTTTGATATTTAATTTACTTGTGCTAAACTATGAGTTTGTTAATCTTATGGCTAAAGAAATCTATGTTTGCAAAACCCACATTCTATACTTTGAACTTTGTACTAGTTTTTACAAAACCATGAACCCATGAGCGAAATATAAATTACACAAACTTTTTAAATGCTTTGTAACTATTTGGCTAATGTATTTGGATACATAATCAGTAATCTGATTGATTATTCTTGGAATTCGTTCAAATTTAGAGGGCTATGTGGAACTGCATGAAACTAGCATGCAAGGTGTTTGTACAAATGCCTGAACCAAATGGACTAATATGGAAGATGACACTATCCCCCATAAATTTTGTTTCGATGTATTTGCCTTTTAGAGTTCTCCTGAGATTTCATTTTCTTTGTCTTTATTCCATCATTATCTGTTATTTTCTAGTGTCTTCACTCGTCAATGTGGATGTTTCCTCTAAATTTAATTGCATTATTTTCCTTGCATAGTTTTAGAGTGAGAGTTTCATACCTCCGGTTCATTTGTTCATTTTTGTTACTTTTTTAAATGGGAAACTATCTCTGAAACTTTTATTGTTTTATGACCAGCCTAGATGGAAACTTTGAGACGAGTTTTTTAGCAGATTGAAGAATCAAGTTAATTTCGACGGGAAGTATGAAATGTGGAAGATGAAATAGGCATGCGAGTTACGAGGTAACAGAGAGGAGCATTCATCAACTTGAATACTATTTTCCAATGCTCTTCTCAGCTATGTGTCAAATCTCTTTATTTCATTACTCGGTTTACTATTGTAAAAGTTAAAAAGATGATGTTTTCTTGCATTTTAAGTTCCTCTTTTGTTCAAGTTTTGGAAAAGATCATGTTGAAAGTTTAGTTGAACATTAGTTTTTGTTTACAATGTAGTGAGATTATTGATGCGTGGACTAGTTATATATATGTTGAATTTGTTGAGTTAATTGTTATAAAAATACAATACTATTTTTTCAGTACAATAAATACAATACTATTAAGATATTATTTTGTGCATAGGTTCAGCCACGTGGGCAACCAACAATTTTTTTAATTAAATTGTTAACTAAATAATGATAGTTATTGTATGCCATTGAAAACCAATATTAAAAAAATATATATATAAAAAATGAACATTTTTTAGTGACGCACATATAATGACAGACATTTATAATGACGGGCACGAACCGTTATTAAAAGTGACCGTCATTAAAGAGAAACAAGGACACTCGAAACGATAACGAACATTTAATGATGCACATGGACATTGCCCGTCATTAAAACCATCTGTCATTGAAAAAGAAACAAGGACACTCGCATAGATGAAGGTCACCTGACTGTTACCGTTTCCGTTTAATGATGGGCAATGCTTGTCATTAAAAGTCAAATTTGTTGTAGTGGACGCTCTAGCCTAAAATAATGTTGATGCTCAAACTGGCGTGGTCCCTTTCGGACACCCAGAAATGAACATTTACAATTTATGTTGCGAAATACCCAAATATTAAAAGCAGTTTCTATGCGTGGTTAGGGGACCTTAAGCATCCACAAATCTACTAGAAAAGAGTAGCTAACCTCAAATAGAGCTAATCACACTACATGTATATCATTCCGAATCATACAAGAGCTAGCAAACTGATAAAAGTGGCCAACAAAAATCAGTAAGATGAAAATGTAAACACAACTCTATTTATCAGCAATGTAATCAACTAGAACGTCACTGTTCGCAACTACAGTAGAGAATCTCCCTCAAAAATGGGGTTTAGTTCATAGGGAATGGGAGAAATACATGGGTAAATGAAAGAGGTAACTCATTTCGTGAAACACGACTGTTAAGCTCCGAGAGATTGCCAGGTAAATGCAAGAACCAGTAGCTCCAATAGCTCGTTCTCCGAAAATGGGGTGTCTACTTTCTTGACTTGAGTACCAGACAAGGAATAATTTCTCTCTTTGGGATCTGTTCTTTTGGGTTGGGACAACCCTGCCCTTTTATATCAAACCCCAATTTTAGGGAAACAAATTGATTCCTGTAAGGGCACGGTTAAAATTCCCTCATAGGGCAGTTACTGCGATGTGATCACTTGGTATCACATATGCTCCAGCTTTGCATGCTCTTGCACGATAATGCTCCTGCAATTCTCATCTGGTTGAGCTGCTCTTAAACCAATTCATTTCTGCAGCCCCATCTTATGCACAATTGAAACAAAACAAGGGAAATAAGCATAAACTTATACAATTTTCATCAACTCAGAGGAATTAAAACAAACTAATTAACTTTTCCACTCAATTTCTCATTTCTAAATGTGATTTACACACGGATCCTCACATTTATGTACAGATTTCCTCAAGTATTTACTAAAATAACTCTCTTTTGGACAAGTGTCTGCCTGGCTTCCAAATCTATCTTTAATGGAATTCAAGTTTTTGTTTGTTTGGGAGCATTTCTCCTCTGTCTCACATGTCACTCATGCAAGAAAAGATGGCTTTTAGACAACAAAGTCAGTCAAATGGAGTTTCAAAGCTATGGTTGTCCACGTTTTTGCTCAACCTACTTATTTCCATTCAATTCATCAAGATTTTCTTCAGCTTTTGATCCCTTTTTAGAGCATTTCAGAGTTACTACTCAGCCTAACTTAGTTCTACTTTCAATTTAGAGTTTATTTGTCTTTTGAAACCTTATCTGTTTTAAGTTTTCAAGTTATTTTCCAGCTTTCACTTTGTTTACTTTTAAAACAGCAATTCATTTATAAAATTTCAGCAATTTTTATTCTCTTCATCTCATTTTCACTTCGTTACTTTGAGAAAATCTTGTAATCATATATTCTTGTGGCATAGAACGAGGGTTTACTCCCCCAGCTCGAAAGAGATGGGAACGTTCTTAATTTTACATCTTCTTTTTCACTTCTCTTTCCTTTAATTATGTCTTCAATTTACAACTCAACTTAATTCAGTTTTTACTTGTACTAAATTCCCTTTTTCGAGCTCAGGTTTGGACGATTAGCTAACTTTTTAAAAGGGACACAACAAAGGCAGAAGGAGCTTTCCACATATTTTTATCACTTAAGTTGTTTTCGAGACCTAAGGATTTAATTTTACCAATTAATGAATTCGTAATCTCAACAATGAAAGGGTTGAACTATTTCTTACAACTTAGTGATTTAACCCAGGAGAGGAAGACTTTAGACATAAAGGTTCCTTTCAAGTAGCCTAGACATAGAGCTTGACTTGAGGTTACGATTGATTATTAATCAATTAAGGCTTATTTTCTAATAGAGATATTAGGAAGCGACTTAGTGCTTCGAGATCACTTAGATATATAAAAGTTGAGAAGCAAATTTGTCATTTTAGAGTGAGAGGCGCCTGGCGCCTGGCTGCATTGCTATCGTGTTTTTAGTTAATCCAAAGTAACACGGGCTAGGCTTTATTCATTCAATTTTCATAAAATCAAAATTAACAACTGCTGCGTGCCTACAATGGTAGATTAAAATATGTACAAGTGCACACGACCTCAAGTAATAAGGGAAGATGTGAGTCTTCCAAGTACGTATCCACAGGGACTTATGAAAATCGAGTTGTTAAAAGCTTTTGAATTGCAATCGTCTGTTTGGTCCAAAAGATTGATGTGGTTGTTTTGGTTTAAAAAGGTCTTGCTATTGAAATGAAATCAACCCCTCTGCTACCTACCTTAGAATTGAATGAAAACGACCCAAACTACCAAACTACTGTGAGCGCTGTGGATTTTTAAAGTGGGGAAGAAAGTGGAATTTGAAATATTGATAAAAAATTGAATATTACAAATTAAATATCCAGAAATTAAATTTTTAAGTTGTGAATTTTGTTTCATTTTGTTTTGTTTATTTATTTCTTTAGTTGTTAGGTTTCTTCATTTTATTAAAAATTGAAGTTATATGTTTAAATAAGGAGTTTTTTTCTTTATTTTGTTAACATTACAAATTTACATATTTGTAACTTTATATGTGTTAAAGATGCCTGTGAGATGTTACTCGTTTTGGACAACTATATATAGCTGTAGTTTTCTTCATTTTAGATATCTAAGTATTTCTCATTTGAGTTCCTCCTCCTCTCACAAGAGTTCTCTCTTCGTTTGAGTTGTTGTTCTTGTTTGTGTAGAAAGCAAGTATCTAAGAGTTTTGCGAGATCCGATCCGAGTAGTTCGAGGTTGCTGTTCTACTGGAGTTAGTCGTTGTATCCTTCTGAGATGATCGCTGTAGTCTGCTAGCAACTTGTGCAGAGCGAATAACTGTCTTCAAGTCAGCCCTATTGAAGCGTGAGTTACGTTGTGATATGTTTGCCAACGTAAATTGTAAATGTTACCTAGCCCTTCTAGCCTGATCTTCTTCTCTTTCGAGCTGGAAGGAAGTGTATCACTTGCTTAGGTGGATGAAAAGAATGGAATTAAAGCAAAAAAAAAAAACGATAAAGGAATGCTGAAAAATAACTTGAATAAAATTGAAATGTACCTAAGCTTGAAACATTGAAAGATAGCTTCAAAAGTAAAAGCTTGAAAAATGTAACGGATTGAAACTAAATGAAGGATTGATCAAGTAAATTCAGAAGAGATGGGATAGTTTCATCTGCTGGAGTGGCGTGAATTTATAGGGCTCAAGTGGTTGCAACTTAGTTGCACAAGTGTAGGAAGTGCTAGAATTGAGGAAGCTTGACCAACAAAAATCACCCAAAATGGTCGAGTCTGCAACTACTCGACCAAGTCCCATCCCAAGCAAAATGTCCTTGATGTCCTTAATGAAATCACAGTTTCGACGCTTTCTTCGAAATAGTGTGGAGCGCTATTTGTACTTAGTCAAAGTTCTACTGTCGAACTAACGCCTACCACTATTTTTCTCTTGTCAACAAAAAGTGAGAATTTGCTTAGTTTTTGCCTCCGAAAGTGCTTAAAATCATATTTATGTTATGGTGAAGTGTCCTCCTGGACTATGAACAATATAAACTCTAATATGTGCATGTTATGAACACAAATGAACTAATTATGCTCCCAAGGTATGCATTAATGCCATCTTTTAACACTTGTGATGATGCTTGGATTTTGGTAGACCGGTTCACTCCACCTCTTGCACCAAACTCGAATATCAAGAGACCAGATACCTACAAAACCGAACAAACCTAACCCGGTGTGACTTCTGTCACACTGACTCCGATGCCTAAGTTAGCTAAAGGAGAAATCACTAAACAAGTAAGGCACTTGAAAGTGTAGTTTTGGCTTACCTTCAACGGGTGATCCTCTTCCTATTTATAGTCGATTTGCCCCTAGGGTTTCACAGATGTCAACCCTAGGTTTGATACTCGTGGGCTTATGGGCCGGGATGCCTCCAGCTTCGGTAGAGGAACAGGGACAGGGTGTTGGGTGTGTTGCCTTAAACTCGTAGTTTGTAATTAATATAAAAACAAATGTATATTCAATAAAGTTTTATTCAATAAATTTGTTGTTGAATTCATAGCATTGCATTGTCCAAAATCCAATAAACTAAACATCCAAGGTTATTTTCATGTAATCGGGACAGTATATATACTAGGTATATATTTGATATACTGGGTATATAATTGATATACCCCTGATATACGAGGTATATATTTGATATACCCCTGATATACGAGTGGATTGTCCCGTGAATAACCTAAAGGGTCTATAGTATATGGATAAGGCTGGGTACCTTATCCTGGCAACACTATGGATACAGCCCACTTTGTAAATGTTACAGACAACTCGATCCACGTCATTCGGGTGGAGACATGCGAGTGGGGGTATCCTATACAATGAGTTTGTATAAGACCGGACTGCGAAATAGACAATCTTTAAATGTAACGTCGTTGACTAACAGATTGTTATTTCATAGGATGACCAAACAACTCATTCTCAATCCTGAGTGAGTTATGGACTCCT